TTCGCTGGTTTGGAAAACCTGGGTTTTCTGCAAGGGTATCATTAAAAAAAAAAAAAAAGAAAGTAGAAAGTGTGACATTCCTATCCAAAATAAAGACACATTCAAAAGACAAAGACACAAAGTTATAGGAAAAACAGGGAAAGACTTGGTTTGCATAAAAGGAAACAAATAAGATCAGAGTCCTGTGACAAGATATTAATCCTGTTATTACTCATGAAAGCACAAAATGAAACTACACGAAATGTCATTTCATACCCAGCAAAGTGGTGAAAAATTTTACTGTGTGTCATGATGCGATGTGGAGCTTCTAGAATGATGCCCTGCTGGGTCATGGGGACGTGGACGTTGATGCTGACACATCAGAACCTGACCCATCCCTGTGCCGAGAGCCTCACAGCTTCACTCCCTGTTCTGGAACAGGAGGAAGCAGCACATGGGGTCTGAGGGCATGTGGACTACAATACTAGTACATTTTGTTATTAAAAATCCTGAAGCTCAGGGCGGGGGTGTGGATACAGTGGGGAAGGAGTTTGCCTTGCACGCGGCTGACCCGGGTTCGATCCCCAGCATCCCATCCAAAGCCTGCCAGGAGTTATTCCTGAGCACAGAGCCGTGAGTTAACCCTGAGCACTACCGGATGCCCCCCAACCCCCCCATGAACCCGAGAGATAGTACAGGGGTACTTGTCTTGCAGGTCAAGGATCCAGATTTGATCAAGACATCACATTGGGTCCCCTGAGTGCTGCCAGGAGTGATTTCTGAGTGCAGAGCCAGGAGTAAGCTCTGAGCGCTACCAGATGTGACCCGAATTCCCCTACGGAATGTTAAAATAGTATGTTTTATATTTATACTTCTTTTTTGGGGGGTCGGCCATGTTCGATTCCTCCGCCCCTCTCGGAGAGCCCGGCAAGCTACCAAGAGTATTCGATATGCCAGACACAGTAACAACAAAGTCTCCAATGGAGACGTTACTGGGCCCGCTCGAGCAAATCGACGATCAACGGGAGGGCCTTTACCTTTACCTTACCTTTTTGGGGGGTGTTTGGGGGCACATAGCAGTGCTCAGGGGTAACTTGGTTCTGTGCGTCAGCCCTTCAGCTATCTCTCAGGCCTGATTTTTTTTTAATGTAGGAGTATTGCTATTTATTCAGCCATTTGCTAGGCTGATTGAATTGGGCATGAACTCTACCTTACTTCCCCCCCCCCCCCTTATTTATAATTTTATGTGTTGAATCACTGTGAGAGTAGTTACAAAGCTTTTGGGTTTAAATCTCAGTCATACAATAAAACACCCGTCCCTTCACCACTGCCCATTTTCCACCACCAAAAACTCCAGCATACCCCCCATCCCACACCCTCCCCCTACCTGTGGGGCAGATGATTTCCACATTACTCTCTCTCTACTTTGATGACATTCAATATTTTGACACCAGCCCCACCATTATTAAACGTGAGATTTTACCCCAACTCTCAGATCTGCTGAAAAGGCAACAGTAGACAATTTGTTTTCTATTGCTGGTTATGAATAACATATGACTTTGCGTGGCTGCAGTAGTGGCCGCGCAGTTTTGAAATTCTGAAATTTTAACACTTAAATCTGGAGGGATTTCTGCCAAAGCCTGCTGGGTTCCAAGATTTGCTCCTGAGTCTCTGGGATCATGGCTGTTAAGCAGCTTGATCAGGAGCCAGAAAGGCCGTTTGTGGGCGATGACTTGGGGTCTAGTTGGGGTGGGGAGGACAGGACCGGCTCCACCCCCATCCCATGAGGCCCAAAATGTCTCATCACTGCAGGGCCTGATGGTTTTTTATCTCTGTTTGTTTTGGGGCTACCACCGGCTGTGCGCTGGGCTTACTCCTGGCTCTGCACACAGGGATTGGAGGTAGAGGACTCTCGAAGGTGCTGGGGGTTGAAGCCAGGTGGGCCACATTCAAGGCAAGTGCCCTGCTCGCTGTACTATCTCTCCGACCAACCCCTCACTAAATCTTTAAATTGCACATATGTGTTGTATGCTCTTTCTTTCTTTCTTTCTTTCTTTTTTTTTTTGCTCTTTGGGTCACACCCAGCAATGCACAGGGGTTACTCCTGGCTTTGCACTTAGGAATTACTCCTGGCGGTGCTCAGGGGACCCTATGGGATGCTGGGAATTGAACCCGGGTCGGCCACATGCAAGGCAAACGCCCTACCTGCTATGCTATCACTCCAGCCTCTGTATTCTTTTTCTTGTGAATATTTGTGAATATTTGTGTATATATGTATATAATGTTAAAATTTAGTCCAACGGGTTTTTTATTTTTTGATTTTTGGGCCACACCGGAGGTACTTAGGACTGATGCAAGGCAAGCTCCTTGCCCAGTGTACTGTGCTCTGGCCCCAAGATTTGTATATTTTTAAAATATTCTTTCATTTTTTTTTAAATAATGATGGAAGCATTACAGTATATTAAGGGGGGGGAAGGGAAGAAATGAAGGAAAGCTTTTTTTCTGAAATGAGTTCAGGGAAATAGGAACTGAAAGAAGAGCGTTGGGCTTCCCCTAATTGTAGCAGTGATGGGAGATGACATTGGGATTCTGATGTCAAATACTCAAAGAGAATGAGTTTCAGCCATAATACAGAGGGAGGGGAAGAGTTCCTTTAAAGCGCCAGCCTCGTGGTCCCTCTGTGTAGGAAATCTGCCCAGTTTCAAGAGTGGGCAGAGGGTTTTGAGGTACTTTTGAACCTCTGGGTGTCACCCAGGAGTCTGACATAGAGGCATAGAGGTCAGCCTGCTCTGAAATCTTGGCACACATCCCCTTTCAAAACGCTTCAACCAACAGTGGGAGAAGGAAAGAAAATACCGCCGAGTTCAGAGAAAGCGCTGATGGAGGAGGTGGTTTGAGAAAATGTGGACCAGCACAATAGCCACATCTCTGGGTAGCACAGTTGCCACGTGGGTAAATCGGTTGATTGACCGGAACTTGGGGCACATGGAGCAGTGCTCAGGGGGCCATGTGTGGTGCTGGGCTGTATGCGAGATCAGCAGTAGCTTCTGTACTATTTCTGTGGGCCCTTGTCAATTAAATTCATGAAATTTTTGGTTTGTTTACTTTGGGGTCACAGCCTGCAGTGCTCAGCTCTTGTTTTTCCGTCACACCCTGGGTGTGAGTTCAGGGATCACTCCCGGTGGGCTTGGGGGACCAAATGGCATGGTGGAGGTCAGATCCAGGCTGGGCACGTGCAAGGCAAGCCCCTTCCCTGCTGTACAATCTTTTCGGAAGTCTGCCTCGTCCTTCTCGTCCTGCTCTTTCTTCACCTTGTTGTCCCGTCATCATTGAAACCTCTCTAGACTGAGAAATGGTCATGCTTGTGGGGTCACCAAGGATATACTTAAGTCTAGAACGCGTGATTCATGGCTCTGCCCCAGGGATGTTCCACCAGGATCAGAACAAGGGGACTTTTATTTATTTGCTTTCTGTTTTGGAGGCCATTTGTTTTGGCATCCCCCATGGTCCCCCGAGCACTGCCAGGAATGATTCCTGCACACAGAGCCAAGAGTAAGCCCTGAGCACCACCGGGTGTGGCCCCAAACAAAAATAAAACAAAAATTGCGTATGACTGTCCTGTCCCTATCTCATCTGATTTTGAGGGGGGATTGGACTGGGCCCCAGTGTTACCCCCAGGATGAGGATTCGGGGACCACCATTGGTTGGAGGATCACTGTCTGTGCCTTCAGAGACCCACCACCGGGCTGGAGACAGATGGAGACAGGAGGCAGTTGCCCTGTGAGGGGCTGACCGGGTTTCCCAGGCCCTGAGCCCACGGTGTCCTTCGGCTCTTGGCTGACCTGCAGGCCCCGTTAGCAAAGAATTGCTGGGTTTTCTGAGCACTGCTTGGGAGCACCTACAAAAGGACAAACATCTGTCATAGGCTGGTTCCCATTCCTTGGCTCCTGCTCCCTTTCCAGTTCAGACAGAGAATTCTTCGCATGGCAAATGCCAGGCCTTTCTTGAATGAATGAATGAATGAATGGGAATGGAGTAGGTCCCAGGGAGAGAGCTGTTTCTGTTTTTTTTTTATGCAAATTTTATACATTTTATTTTTATTTATTTATTTATTTTATTAGTGAAACATCATGAGGTACAGCTGTAGACTTACAAATTTTTGTGCTTGGGTTTCAGTTATACAATGATCAAGTACCCATCCCTCCACCAGCGCCCATTTCCCACCACCACGGGTCCCAGTATCCCTCCCCCGGGGCAAACAAAAATAAAACAAAAATTGCATATGACTATTGTGTCCTGAACACCCTCTGTCTCATCTGATTTTGCCTCTGTGGCAGGGCATTCCCTTTTGTTCGAGAGAGCTGTTTCTGGATGGGTACCAGCAGTCTGGGTCACCACCCTTGCCCCCGCCTGGGCACTGTGGATGCCGAGACCCTCCCAGGAGGAACCGCCTGGTCCTGCTCGCTCGGGGGTTTCTGCGGCCGTTGGAGGGGGGCCGGTGGAGCAGCCCCTCCACGATTGTGGGTGACCTCTCCCCCTTCTAGTCCAGTAACTGGAAGGGGCACGCGGGAGCCCGTAAGTAAATTCCACCGGGGGAAGCTGGAAGCCGAGTTGGCCCCCGGGCGCTCGCCCGAGCTCGGGGTGATTACTGGCTGCCAGGCAGGGCGCCCGCCAAGCTGCCCGACTGTCACGCCCGGGGCGGGGAGATGCCCAGGCGTCCTCCACTCGGGGCGCCCTGGGAAGCAGGTGTCGGCTGCGCGGCCCTGCAGCGGGGGTGCCCCGGGCCCCCCGCCCGACCCAGCATCCCTCGACGTCTCCATCCTGCGCGCCAGGAGCACGGAGGCCTCGGAGAGACCGGGGACCCGCCTTAAGGGCAACGCGGCGGATGGTGGGGGGGCCCGGAAGGAACAAAGGCACGCAGGGGACCCCGGCCCGGGCCGCGGAGCCGCCGGGCCGCGCGGGCCCTTTAAGGGCGGCGGAAGGGGCGGGGCGGCGGCGCGGGCGTCACTTCCGGGCGGCGGGGGGCGCGGGCGCGGGAGGCGGGGGCCTGGGGCTGGGACCCACGCGGCGTGCGGCCCGCCCGGCCTGCAGCGCTCGCACCCCGCGGCGGCACCATGCCCTTTGACTTCAGGAGGTGAGTGGCCGCGCGGCCCTGCGGCTCCGCGGGACCCCCGACCCGCACACGCCGCCGGCCGGGGCGCCCCGGTGCAGCGGGGGCCTCGCGCCCCGGTGGGGGACTTGCCGCCCCCACCCCCCGGGGTCGCACCGCGGCTGACAGGTGCGCCCAGGGCCCGGGCCGGGCGCGCCGGACGAGCCCCTCGGGGCCCCGCGCGACTCTGCAGCCCCGAGCTGCCCGTGCAGGTGGGGGGGGGGTTCGCCGGCTGCACCCCCCCGCCCCGCCCCGGTCCAGCAGGGGCCCTGGCCATCCCGCCCCCGTGCCCGGCGTGCGGGCCTGGGGGCACCGCGGGAAGAGGAGGGGCGGGGCCGTGGCCGGGGACCCCTCGGGTCTGGCCCTGGTCTGCTGCAGCCGCCACAATGGGCCCTTTGTGGGGTCCCGTGGCCTCACGGGCCACGTTGTGCTGAAAAAAGGGGCCTCCTGCATGCCCGCCTGGGAAGGGGCCCAGGCCTCCCGGGGGTGCGGGCCCGAGGCGGCCCCAGTGTGGGTGTCCTGGGGAAGGAGGGAGGAGCATCTGCAGGCGGCCCCCTCTCCCAGCAGCCTGGTCTGTTGTAGAAGTTTCGGGTTCGGGTGCAGGCTCTGTCCACTGCCGCACTCAGCGTGGCCCACCTGGGACGCCCTTTTGGCATCTGTGCCACTGCCCGCACATGGGGTGACCTTAGTCCCACCTGTGGGGCTGAGTGCTCAAGGAGCCTCCCAGCCTCCAGCCCCTCAGCCTGGGGGGGGGGGGGGGATCTTAGTGCTCCAATGAGGGATGTGGGTGGGCGAGTGGCTGCTCTTGGGCATTTGCCTCGTGCACCACAGAGGGGGTCCTGGGGGCTCGCTGGCTGCTTTCTCTTTCCCATGTGCATGGCATCAGGGGAAAGGGTCAGCCCTCCCCCGCCCCCATCCTCCTCTTGCTCCCGTGGCAGGTGACCTTGGAGAGGGGGTAGGTGTCAGGCCTGGACAGGTCATTGGCCTCCCTTGGACCTGGTGGCGTCAGTTGACATGGTCCAGCCTGTGCAGGGCCCCTGTGCCAGCTTTCTGGCCCTCTGTGTGCAGCCCCCAGCTGCCCCTGGGTCTGACCAGGATTCTGCCGGGCCCATCTGCCCATCTTCCATGTGACCCTGGGGTGCAGATTTCTGGTGCCATCAAGTCTCTCTTTAGTTTATTCCCAGCCACACCTGCTGGTGCTCAGGGATCACACCTGGTGGTGCTTTGGGGACTCTAGGTGGCCGGGATTGAACCGGGGTCAGCGTAGAGCTCTGTGTCCGTCCCATCCACCAAGTCCCGTGTCCAGCTGCGCCTCCCTGCCGCCTCCGGCCCGTCCCAGCGTCTGGCTTGAGGAGGTTCAGTCACTGCTTGTGGTCAGGGCTTGTTCTCTGCAGCCCCTGGCCACACTCGGGAGGAAGAGTGTCGGCATGGGGTGGGGAGTCTTGCCTTGGATCTTGTGGGAACTGGTATAGAGTGGATGCATGCGTGTGTGTGTCGTACCCACGGCAGGAGTGGTGTCCAGGTGCTGAGGGCATAGGGAACCTTCCTTGGAAGCTGCCAGCAGGAGCGATGTGGGTCACTGGGCAAAAGGGCCTTTTGGCGGCCATGCCAGGGGGAAGCGTTTCCCTTCCCTGCAACCCTGAGAGCCTGCACCCTCCAGGAATCACTGTCCGCCTGCCCGTTCCGTGCAGCTTGGCAGAGCCCCTGCGGGTGGCACGTGCCCCCTTCCTTCCCTGACGTGCTGTCTGAGGTTGCTGGGGTGTGAGAGACAGACCCGGGCGTGCAGGGCGGGATCCCGGACCTGCCGGCCACCCGGTGTTTGCTCTGTTCTCCATGAATTCTTTCATTAGTACCTGGCGTGACCTTACGACCCGGATCTGTGGGTGGTGGCCGGGCCTGGCCCAGTTCCGGCTGGCACGGCCCAGTGGCACCTGCCGCCTCCCGCAGAGCCGGGGGCTAGGTGATGGGGGAAGGGCAGTTCCTGCTGGTCCACTCCACCACCCCACCGTGGGGAGAGGGGGAGCCAACTCTGACTGGGGAGGGGGCGGCCGCTCTGCCCCGGATGTCTGGCCTCACCTAGCCTCCGTTTCTTTGCGAGCTTCCTCGGGCAGGACGCCTTCGGGGATGGCGAGATGACCCTATGGGAGGGCCTGTGGGGTCCAGCCAGAATGGAAGTGCAGGATTAGGGGATGGACAGTGAGGCACGACCAGAGTCCTGAGCCCAGCAGGGACCCTGTGGGACCCTCAGGCTGCCCCGGGGGCTTTGCCAAGGTGACTGGTTTGCCGCCCCCCTGGTTTCTGCCTTCAGGGGCGCTCATTGCTCTAAGGATCTGGTCCCAGCCTCGCAGCTCGTCCCTTACTCCGCACCACGCTAAACCAGCCACGACAGGGCGCCTCCCCCCAGATGGGCTGAGGGAAATACACGACAGAGGGTGAGGTGCTTGCCGTGCGCGCCGCCCACCTGGGTTCCATGCCTGGCACTGTTTGGTCCCCCGATACTGCCGGGAGTGATCCCTGAGCACCATCAGGTGTGACCCCAATCTCTCCCCATCTTATCCCCCCAGAACAATCAGGGCTAAAGGAGAATGAGGATTACACTAGAGACAAGTCTGTGAGACCCCTCGGCTCCCCTGAGCGTTTCCTGGCTGAGCCCCCTCCCCAGCTGGGCCGCGGGAGAGCAGGCTGAGGAGGCCTGGCGTCCAGGGGCCCAGGAGGACCCGCTCTTCCCCAGCTGAGCAATTGGATCCTTCACTTCCTCTTGCTAATCCACCCCCTTCCTGAAGTGCAAAGAAAAGCTGCCTCTGCATTTTTCTTTTTTTCTCCTTATGCCTCTGCATTTCTTTGCTTTTTTTCTGTTTTTGCCTTTGCTGGCCTCAGACTCCTGATTCCCAGATGGGCTTTGAGGACCCCTGAAGACCCGCATTCCCACCGGCATCTCCCCTCGCACCTGGTTCTCTCAGATGAGAAGGGGCCTTCTTCTTCCCCACCCAGCAATGCTTAGGGCTGACTCCTGGCTCTGCGCTGAGGAATTATTCCTGGCAGTGCTCAGGGAACCAGGGATCAAACCCAGGTTGTCGGCATGCAAGACAAAATGCCCTGTCTGTGTTTTCTTTCTTCCTTCCTTCCTTCCTTCCTTCCTTCCTTCCTTTCTTTCTTTCTTTCTCTTTTCTGTTTTGGGGTCACACCTGGCAATGGTTCAGGGGTCTGCACTCCGCACTCCTGGCAGTGCTCGGGGGACCCTGTGGGGTGCCGGGGACCCAACCCAGGTCAGCCCCGTGTAAGGCCAGCGCCCTCCCCACTGTACTGTTGCTCCAGCCCAGATAATGATTTCTCAAGCCCCTCTTATCTTGTTGGCAGAGCTTGAAAGCCCCTGCTTGACCCCACACAGAGTAAGTCCTTCCTGAGAGTCTCTGGATTCCCGACCCTTGTCCCTGGTAGTGGGGATTCTACTCCAGCGACTGGGGCTTCCCGCCCTCCTGCCTGTCGTCTAGGTCAGTCCCACCCCTCTCTGCTGCTCCTCTGAGTTGATCTGGGAGTTGACTGCTGGGGTGGGGAGGGTGTTCGTGGGGAAAGTGGGGTGTCTAGGGTCAACTTAGCCACCTCTTCGTCAGTGAACTTCCACCCTGACTGGCCTGTTAGTGCCCCAAATAATGCTTCACTGCAGATACCCCATGGTTAGGCTGGGGGCTGGGGTCTTCTGGTGGGGTGTGGGAACCGAATGGATGCTGGGACCCGAACCAGGGCTGGCCATGTGCAAGGCAAGCTCTTGAACCCTGAGCTCTTTGGCCCCAGTTTATTTGTCTTTAGGCCGCATCTACTTCTGTGCTTGGTCGCTCCTGGCAGTGCTTGGGGGTGGGTGGTGGGTGGGTCATACCAGCCCCAGTATACAAAGCCTGCAGCCAGCCCCAGCCTCCAACATTGTTTGTCCTCATAGCTTTGATGGATTCCGCCTTCTTCTGCTCCCACTTTTGCTTTCCTGATGTCCCACCCTCCCCAAGTTAGAACAGTACCCAAGACCCCACCCCCCACCCACCATGGGAACTAACTGGGATCCCTCAGCAACAGGGCTGAAAGGAACCAGGGCTGCCATTATCGGGTGAGTTTGTGGCTCAAGGAAGCAGGAAGCAGGTTGTGCTCATCCTTCTATCAGTTACTTCCCATCCACCCACCCACCCACTCACCCATCCCCGACTCCATCCACCTACCCACATGTGCAGCTACTCACCCATCCCCCAATTCCCATCCATCCATCCGTCCATCCACCCACTTACCCACCCCCAACCCCCAACTCCCATGCATGCATGCGTCCATCTGTCCATCCATCTACCAACTCCATCTGTCCACCCATTCGTCTTTCCACCTTCGGTTCGTCCACCATCGATTCATTGTCTGTCCCTCCCTACTCCATTGATCCACCCATCCATTCATGCTCCCTCCCTCCCTCCCTCCCTCCCTCCCTCCATCCATCCCTCCATCCATCCATGCACCCATCCCTTCAGTTTCCCAGGGCCTCTGGGTGGCAGGGAAGGCGAGGGTGAGCGGTAGTGACTGTGCGGGGGCTTCTCTGCCTTGGCTGTCGGTTCTGGGAAGGAAAGGGGACATGGATGGGGTGACTGAGTTTGGGGGAGCAGCTGATGGATTCACTTGACCCATGAATCCCCCAAAACTGGCAGACGGCCTGCAGTCTGATCTGGGCCCCCAGAAGCCCTCCATATGCCTTTCATACCTGGGCCTTCCTTGTCCTTTGGACTCCCCTGGCTCAGGTCAGTTGGGTGGTTGGGGTCTTTCAGGGACACCCCCCCCTCCCTCTGCATGGCTATGGGGATGCTCTTGGGCTGCTGGACTGGGGGTGGGGTTGTGTGTGCCCAGGGGTGCTCTGCAGAGTGATAACTGAGGCTGCTATTAGAACCCATCTGTGGGTGGGGCCTGGGGGACCCTGTTCCCTACTCACACTCTCCCCGCAACAGCTTGGAACCCCCCCATGC